TGTTGCTGTTGTTGTTACTGGCGGACCCAGCGGGCGGGCCGCGTCGAAGGCTCAAGTTGTTTGTTGTCTGCGCGCCGATTATGGAAAGTTGATGACCAACAGCTCAGGAAGACATAGGTAACATAGGTGCAACACCGAATGCCGTGCCTTCAAGTGCTGTTTTTTTTTTTTTTTTTTTTTTTTTTTTGGTGGGGCTTAGAAAATTGCACATTTCTCTCTAAGAGAGGGTTTTCCATTTACAAAAAAAAAAAAAGGTAAAAGATGCCAATACCACCGGTATACTCCCTTTTTGTTATGCGTCGCTCGTGGCCAAATGCCGCTCGGCCACAAAAACCGCACGCGGAATGCAGCCGTCGGCCATGTGGGGTTCTAGGGCGGGTTAAGCGGGGTTTACGGGGGGAGGGGTGTGCAGGCGGAGCTGGAGGGCGGCAACTGCCAGGCAACACTTCGTTAAGTCCCGGCCAACATCAACGTCAACGCCTGTGCCCGGCTAAATAGATTTTTAGTTACTCTATGCCGAAGGGTTATTGATTTAGCTAAACAGTTTGACAGTTTCCAGAAATCTCTCTGCATATTTGACAAGAACTTATTAAATTCTAGAGCTTAAAGTATAAATATTATATTATACCCTTGCAGGGTATTATAATTACAGTCAGAAGCTTAAAACTAAGTGAAGAAGTCATTTTTGACCCTATAAATCACATATATTCTTGATCAGCATCAACAGGCAAATCAAACTAACCATGTCTGGCAAAAAAAATTTTTCAAATTTTTTTCAAAATTTTAAAGGGGTTACATCGTTAATATTTTCCAAATTTGACGAAAAATTGATATTATTAAATTGCAAAACTTGATTTGCAGATTTGTTAGCCCAACAAAAACAAGCACAGAAAATCAATCCGAATTTAAATTGATTCATTTTTGGCTTAGTTATGGCATTTTGAAAAACTGGGACTTACCCAAAAATATATCATATAAAAATATCGATTTAATATACCTAAAATACTGATTATTTAAGTTTTATTGTCGGTATACAAAGGCCAAGAAGACATAGAGTGTCATAAGTTATATATATTTGGAATAAAAATATTGGAAATGCAATAATATATTTGGATGTTCTTTTATAAATCTATAGATGCAAAAACGTAGTCTTACTGAATTATTACTTCAATACTTTTTTCCCTATTCAGAAATATGTAAGTTTTACATTACAATAAAAAGTTAATTATTTACAATATGTTTTTTAATATATGAGATTATTTTTAAAGAAACAGGGTTTTCAATCATTATCCTCAAAAACCGACCTTCCCTGCTTAGTACATATTTTATTTTAGGTACACATAAAGAGTATCCAATCCTTGACTATTGCTAATATGCTTTCCATCTTGTCATTCTCGTTTTTTTTTTCGGGGTCGCCTTGCGCTCTCCTTCGCTTGGCTTTGATCTGTGGATGCTGCAGGCAGGACGGCAGGCAGTCAGTCAGCCAGGGTCCAGAGGTAGCCACACGAGTCCCATTCCGTCCCGTTTCGAACCGATCCCGCCGAACTGCAGCAAATTGAAAATTGATTTTTGAGCAGAGCTTGGCGCGCCAAGTTCGCTGCCTAAGTCTTTCGTTGCGACTCGTTCGTTTCGTTTCGTTTCGCTTCGATTCATTCGGATGAGTCAAAAGTACACGCCATGAAATTCCCACATAAATTGCGCGCGTTGTCAAATTAAAAATGCCTAATGAGCTGATCGGGGGCTGCTCCGATGCAAAAGAGCTGAAAAATGCATTAGAAGCAGCAGGGACCCTGGATCCTGCACCCCATTACCGTTTCCCCCTCGCCCTCTGGACCAACTCCAGTCGCCGGCTGTGGCTGTGGCGGCAAAATGTATCGTGTTACAAATCACGGCGGGGCGTGCGGGCGGTACGATGGCAGGCAGCATCCGCAGCAGCCTCCGCAACAGCAGCAGCAACAACAAGAACAAGTTTCGAGTGGAAATGCGTGTAGCGTGCAGCGTGCGAAACACTGCAGAACATGGACACGAATCGAGGCGAAAGCCTGATGCCAGATCCGATCTCCTCCCTGAACGCTCTCGAACATGTCCACTTGGGCCAGCGTCTAAAAATAGTTGAGGTATGGAGTGGGCCATCATTCAGCAAACCAACATACAAGCACCTAGCATCCAGCATTCAGCATGAAAAATGGCAACACTTTTGCGCTCATAAAACCTATTTATATATTTATATGCTCAGTCCTGGGCTCACCAATATGCCCGCCCGTTCCACTGCAGTGTGCTTCCCCACAAAATGCTCAGGCGCAGGCGCAAGCGCGTGAGATCGCCACGCAAGATCGGAAGGCAGAAGGCAGAAGGCAGAAGGAGTCAAAGTCAGAGAAGTCCCAGGGACCCATGTCCAGGTCCCAGTCCAGTTTGAAGACGGGACCACACAAATACAGGCACGCGTTCGCTGACAGAATAAAAATTGTTGCGCTTGTGTTTAACGCGCGAACGCGGCGATATCGCAGCAGCAGCAGCAGCAGCAGCAGCATCCTACCTTGTTTCAAACTGGCTCCCTGGACCCCGATGGCTCAGGTTAAAGTGGCAGCAGAGAGATGGGATGGGATGCGAAGGTTCGGATGCAGGAGGGTCTGAGGGCAGGGGCATTGTCGGCTTGCTTAGCTATCACTGAACGATTATCGTGCATTTTAAAATTCTTACGAGTTTCTGACGTTGTTGTTGTTGCTGCTGCCTTTGCCTTTTATATTGCCCTTTTCTCCTGCTGCCGGAGCCAGATTGGAATCACGCATGGGAACCAAGCGCCTTGGCTTTGTCTTGTCTGCAGACTGCAAAAAAAAATAAAAACATATATATAAGAAGAAAAAATAAACCCCTAAAAAAATAAAGTATAAGGAGAATAAAGTGAAAAAATTGCGGCATTCTCATCAACAAATTAGGAAAAGGTATATGTATATAATAATAACCAACAAAGTAAAGTGGAAGTGCTTGGTTTAAACATGGTTTTATTAATTCATTTCATTTTAAATAGTAATTTGTATTTATCAATTTGTTAATTGCATAGTTTACATAGTACTTCAATGTAGTAACTCCAATATACAAACTCCATCAGTGGCTGCCTCGCCCTCGGTTCGATTATTGCCAACATATAGGATCGATCGTAAATACATACAATACATACATATACTGAGGTGTGTACATTCGGTTTGAGGCAGATGCATTTTGTTGCTTTTTTGTGGTCGCCTTGGACAAACATTCTCGATTTGGAAATACATAACTAAATTGCTACACAATTTGCTTGATAATAATTTGATAATGCTATCATACGTAATATGCTATATATATATGTGTATATATAAATATTCAAATATTTTTGTATTCATATCCGCTGTGGGCATAACTAGTTAAATAATTGATTTGTTAAGGTTGCATTGTCTACAATGTGGAAGGGTATCTTTGAAGTCGGAGTCTATTGTTTGCTGCTCTTGAATGGCAACACAAATTTTGCTGGTTCTGTCTCTCTTTCTCTAAGCACATTTATTAACTTTAGTTAATAACATTACAAATTACACACAACATTCGCCTGTTAAAGAGACGAGAAAACAAAGCGAACAAAAAAAATTTAATTAAATTATAATTGAAAGATAATGAAGATCGTTAAAAATTGCTGATTTAGGTATTTAATTTTTTATAATATCAAATGGAGGTTGGAGTGTTCCTCAAATTATAAGGTGAAGTGATAAAAATAAACAGCTATGGCCGCATTTCCGCGGCAATTAATCCCCGATAAGAAACGTTATAGGTCGAGAGAGCTTTATGACATCTGACCAATATCATCGGTGCATTCGTATTAATATCATTCCGCGGACGCCATAAAAATAAAAGCCAAGGTATACAAAACAAAAGGAAAACACAATATTTATACTGACTGCAACGCAAAAGGTAGATTAAGTCAAGACACGAACCGCAAAACATTGGTAAAAATTTCATAGATATTCTATTAGCCATAAATGGTACATTCATATATATATTTGTCATATAGCCTAGGCTAGGTGTATCAGTTAACTTATGTAGAGCTGTCGAATTGCTTCGAATCTAGTTCAGCGTTTAACTCTAGTAAAAGTTTCAAATTGTTCTTATTTCATTTAGGTCTTGACACACATTTTGTTTGTAGTATTCTAGAAAAAATAATTTCATATTGATTTCACATAGTTTAATATATCCTGTCCCCTATCCTTATTGTGAGTGTCTCTCTGTGTGGGCTTGGTTCGCATAAAGTTTGCATAAATCTATTTTCATCATTTGTGTAGATATCTTTAAAATACAAGACAGTACTTTCGGTTGCAAGTTTGCTCGGTCTCCACAATTTCATCATTAAAATTCCTGTTCGGTGTTCAGAGTTGTTGTTGTTTTTGTTGTTGTATTTGTTTATCCCTTCGGTTAACTATTTGTGTCAAACCTTTAGTTACGTTTACTACAATTTGTTTGTTAATATATATATTGTGTATTAGCTAGTTGAAACAATTTGTTTATTGTTCTAGAACTACAGAGAAGTAATTGCCATTGCTTTTGTTACTCTTTTGTGAATCATCCTCATTCGTGTCCTTTAATTTTAATTTGAATTTTCGATAAGAGACCCTAAAGCTAGCTACTAATTCATTTGATAATTTAGACATTTAGTTTGTTGTTCTCTTCATTGCGATTGTTTTGTGGTTTGTTTGTGATCTACGCGTATATGACAATTCCTTTAAAATTTATATATTCTATGTGTGTCGTCCGTCTTCAATTAACTTTTAACTCTTTTGATTATTCGAGTTCTCTTCGCCGCTTGTTTTCTAAATGGAGCTGGAGCTTTACAACATATGTTTTTATATTTCTTGTCACTTTTGTTGTACATAAAGTCAAGTTGGTTTACAATTTGATTTGTTTTATTGCTGTCGCGAGATTGCATTCATATATAAATACTTTTATTTTTTATTTATGTTTTTTCTTTTTGTTTGGTTTTTTTTTCATTTTTTTGTTTTTTCTTTTATATATTTCTGGATCACATATTCAAGTAGTTTCAAAATCACATAAAAATCACTCTTACAGTAGCGTATACAAAATACATGTGTCATCTATAAATATATATGTATATACTGACATATATTTTCTCGATCTGGGTTCTGATTCTAGTTTTTAGCTGAGTTGGGTGTGAATGGGTTTCTTGACATGTTGTAAAATTGCTTTGGATTTGGATTGAGGTCGGAAAATCCGAAAATTGATAGATCTCGTGCAAGTGTTCCCAAAGAGTTATCCTTTAAGTTAGTGCCCAGTCGATGAAGGTCTGATGGTGTTCTGGGAGATGTATGCGTAGAATTAGCGACTCAACAGCTCCATTATAAAACCAAAATCTCTCTCTTTTCATTATTATGGTTGGTATTCGTGATTTTTACTTGGTTTTTGTTATTAATTTTGTTTGTTTGTTGTGTACATCTTTATCATAAACTATTAAAGCATTTATTATTTAACACACATTTGATTATTGTTATGTTTATTAATTTGTATTACTTGATGTTTGGCTTCTACAAAACACAGTACAAACACACACAGAGATAAAAGCCTTTGCGCTGCCTTGCTTGTTAGCTTTGTAATACAATAGTTTTTTTTTTTAATATTTGAAGGTTTCTTTTTTTTTTTTTTGTATATAGGTTCGTATATATATATATATTTGTGTATATCCTTACAGTTTTGCTTTTGTTCTCAATAAATGCCTATGCATGTTACGTTGCATTTTCAATTCATTTCCAAAACAGTCCAGTTTTGATTACAGTTTTAATCAATTCAACTCAACTAGCTAACAATATGTGTCTCTGCTTCTCATTCAACATTGTCCACAGCTTCCAATAGCGGTCTATTATTATTATTAATTTTTTATAACTTTATGTTTCACGCAAAAAAATACATTTGTTTTTGAAGACGGTTTCACATTAACTCTGGCTAACTTTTCTGATTAAACTCTGTTCATTTCGCTGTATCGAGTTACTTTTATTGTTTTTGCCTCCTACAATCATCACTCATCGAGTATGCGTTCAAATGCTCCATAAATATATATATATCTATTCATATTCGTTCTTGTACCATCAGCATAAGCAAAATGCTTGATTTCATGTATCTTAAATACTACGTTCCGACATTGACAATTTTTATTTGCTTTTACTACATTGGAAGCGTCTATTTGAGACTATGAAAGTAAAATGAAAACTGAAATCAGCTGCAAAGTAAGTACTTAAAGCACTATATAAATCACAAAGTAACCTAGTGGAGAGTATATACGTGAGTTTGTAAATCTTTTTTGGGGTTGGGAGTGTTGGCATTGGTTTTAAGACCACCAATACGCCCAAAAATAAAAGCAAAGTGTCTTAATCCATTAAACTTGGTTTTCATAAAGTGTACTGAACATTTCAATAAGAAAAAGCGTTGTCGCAATTAGTTGTAAATCCATTTTACACCTATAATTACTTTTGTGCAGTTAAAAAACAAAAAACATGTAAGAAAAGAAAGCTAAGAGTAAATTATGATTAGTTATGACCTGTCAGTTACATAGTGTTTATGACGCTTGTCTTGGCTTTTTAGTTATTGGTTGTTTTCACAAGTTTGAAACACAGACATATAAAATACAGTTTGAAAATCGGCTTATACAAAATCACTGGTGGTTTTTGTTTGTTTGTTTGTTTGTGGTTGCTTGTTGCTCTTGTAAGCGACAATACTTTGTTAAAGATTATTAACTTGATCAATTTGTTGGTTTCTATAAATTTGTTAATAGTCAATTGCTAAAAGTGTCTAGAAAAATTAATATATATATTTATATATTTATCATAAACCTTTAACCCATTACATATCGTAACAGCGGTTGTTTACTTCTCGTAATTCCTTAAGTAATACTAGTGAAAAGTACAATATGACTGAAAGTGTAGCATATTTCGAATAAAGTTACACAAAGTATACGTGCGTGTAAAAAATAAATGAGATATTGCAAATTCGTGCAGAGTTGGTAGAAATAAAAAATAATAAGTATGCCTAAAACACTGAAAATGTCAAACAAAATTAAAAAGAGTTGTTTTGTGTTGCATAAAAGTATACAAATATAAAATTTAAATCTTTTTCAAGAGTTCCTGTAGTCGTTTTGAAAAAAAAAAAAAATTAAAAACGCAAACAAAAATAAAATATTTAACTTAGATTTTAGAGCAGCTAGCTAATTCAATTAATAGTTTGTGCCTAGAAATTGCTAATATTCATGACGATAATTTGCATAATTTGCATACAGTGGAAATATAAATAATATATGCTTTGCCACGCCCACGTCCATGTGGCTGCTACTCCTACCCGACCATCGGATCAAAAGTTTCAACTTTTTCCTTATGACTAAAGTTTGCTTTGTGTGTCTGTCACACACATTGTCATGACGATTCCCATTTGTATCCGTATCCCCGTTCCCCTTTCACATCCGATTTTCAGCCAAAGGGCCACTTGTGGTCCTGTTGCTGATAAAACATGTTCTAGGTATGGGTGGTGATCACTGGTACCTGACAGTAGGGGCACTCGGTGACCGAATCAGCGCATGTATTGCAGATGGACAGATGGTTGCACGGCTCCAGGGTGACTGTACGATTGTTCTCCTCACACTTCATGCATTTCTTGGCGTTCTCTAAATATAATACTTTGTCGACTTCTTCCAAGTCAGTGCGCAGTTTCGACTGAAAGTAAAGCTGGTTGAATCCTCGCACTGTAACTTTCATTATCCAACTGCTTACCTGCAATTGCTTCAGTTTCTGTATGGACAAGTCCCGCAGCTCCGCTGGCAGGTTAAGTTGTATCTGGGCCAGATCATACCGCTCCTTCCACTCTAGGGCCTCCTGCTTGGCCTTGTCGCGATGCAGTTCGGCGATCTTAAGCTTGCACGCCATATCCTCATAGCGGCCATTCAGCTTATGAATCTGTGCATTCTTCGTGAGCAACTCGTTGGTGATGCGCCCAATATCACTGTTATTCTGTGACTGCAGCGATTGCAAGCTGAACGCGTTCTTGGCCGTATTAAGAGTGTTTTCGAAGAGGCTGTTGCCCACCGAGCTGCTGTTGATGTCGTCGCGTATGGTGTTCAACTCCGAAATCCTTACGGAAGGACTGATAGACAAGCCGTCGCCAAAGCCGGGCGAAATGATCCGAGACGGAAAGAAGAGGCTGCTATCATTTTGGGTCGCCGAGAGGGAGTTGCTAAGCTTGTTAGAGCCGCCATAGTTGAACGCGTCCACATTGAAGAGATTGGTGGGACTGTAGGTGAGCGAGCTGCTGGGAATGTTGACGGCGAATCCACCTGAGTTGAAGTCTGTGCAAAGAGAATGAAATTTAGCGATTAGTTGGCCAACTAAGCCCGCCGATGACTTACCATTAATTGAGTTACTTAGAGTCGTATTAGGAATGTTAATTGGCGCCGAGGAACGTGTTAATAAGCTAGTATTGGCCAAACTCGCCGACAATGAGTTCTCGCGCGGATCGTCCAGTGAGCATGCTGCTTGCAAAGAAGACAGATAAATTATTGAAAGTTTCAGTTAGGAAAGGGGTACAGGCCGAAGCATTTGCTGTCTGAACGCTGACACATGTCCACAACCAACATTTAGAGTATGTATAGTGAATACCGGATTGCAACTTATGTAGGTGTTCTTGTCAGGTGTCAGGACTAAAATACTCACAACGACAGTCCAGGGGTCGTGAGAAATTTAAAAATTTGCTGGAATTTGTCGTGTTTTCCAAAGCATCTACCAACATTTTATTGGTACTATTACCACCAATGTTCAATAACTACGAAGAGAACAAAACGAAAAGAGAAGAAAAATCGAGGATCGCAATGAGAGCAGGCCACAGATTTCAATGGATCGGTGAGGGTGTTAGACAGTTAGCTGATGTGGTTAGCTGGATTAGCGCAACTGACGATGTCTGGTTGTATGTGGGGATTAGGCGATGCAAATCGCAGGCTTGATGAGTGTTACTGTTTTGGTCATACGTACATTGTCGCCCAGGTGGAGCACATCCTGGGCCTGTAGATCGGGAAAGGCATTGGATATGAGCTCGCACAGGCTTAGCTCGTGGTCCCGCATCTTCTCGTCGGCCATAATACAAGCTTTTGGGTTGGGAATGGTTACATGGGCAAGCGACACCGAGCGGCAAAGCGAACATTGATTGATGGATTGATGCATTGTTATACAAAGGATTCGGTTCGAGGGTTTTCAGAGTTTGAGACAGATTTGCGGGTTGATTGATGAGCAGAAATGCGAGGCGAGTAAGAGATAAACAGAGTTAAAACAGGAAAATCATAAGATACATAAGCCTAACAATTCCCTACTACAACTGGTTGTGGCGAACAGCGCTGAAAGCCAAGGTTTTCAGAGGCCTCTGCCTCGGCACTTACGTTCTACGTGGGCAAAGGCGCAGAAGACACTGCGCGGGCAGTAGCCGGCCTGCTGGACATCGTTGCACTTGGTCGACTTGTAAATCTCCGGATGGAACTGCTGCTCGGTGCGAGTGTGACAGTACTGACAGTTGTCTCCGGCCTCGCAGTTGCCCGGCTCACCCCACTCCTCGCCGTGCTTGACATTGGGACATGGCGTGGACCTGGAACAGAGTTTAGAGGTCGATTCAGTACGTTCTGCACTCTGGATTAAGGATGAAGGACCCACCTGTACTTGTACTTCCTAGGCGAGCGGCGCTTGTCCTTGCTGTTGTGGTACTGTGGACAGGCGTATCCCTGGCGGCAGAGGCGCGGTGGGCGCTTGCAAGGCTCCGTCTTGTAGTTGGCCAGCACGTAGTTGGTGTCCTGCCACTTGGGATCCTCGTTCATCAGATTGCGCTCCTTGTCCAGAGCGTTCAGTGCGTTGGTGCTATCCAGAGTGATCTCGGCATTCTGCAGGGTCTCCAGCTCTTTGATGTCGTAAACCGGTGGGCGCTGGTCCTGCATGCCGTGGGCGAAGGCGCAGTGCAGTCCATTCTTGACGCAGTAGCCCCGGCTGTCGGTGTCGTGTACGCACATGCATGTCTTGTAGTAGCGCAAATGGTAGCGTCGCTCCGTGTCCCCGGCGGTGCGGTGGAGAAAGGGGCATCTGCGGGATGGCGTGGGATGAATGAATAAAAGAGATTAGAAGACTTTTCAGTGACGTCGTAGCTGGCTCTAAAAATAGACGCGCGGGAGGGGCAGGGGGTGGAGGGTGGAGGCCTCGAGTCTGGGTCATAAAGTCTGCCAGTTGTGTTGTTGTTTTGTGTTTCGTGCAGAAAGTAATTGCGTTTTACTTTTACCCTGCTCTCGCGCTTTGGCGAGCTTTTCTCCAAAGCTCGACAGCCACAATAACTGTACATTTTGAAGCTGCCGGGAGAAAAATCAAAATAAACGCAGAAGAAAACACGCAAAAGCGAAACGCAATAAAAACAATGACGCACACACTTGTAGCAGTTGGCGTAGCGTGCGTGTGTGTGCGTATACGCTCTGTCTGTAATTGTGTGAGTGGGAGCAACAACCACCACCAAGGCGTCGGGCGGATGCTGATTAGAATTTGCCAGCTCAATCGCTGGAATCACTTTCACTTTAGCTGTGCGACCTCGCCTACACATACACACACACACACACACAGCGAATTTCACTTTTAGCTTTCCGACGACGCCAAACCCCCGAAACGCCCGCACCCAGGTTTTTGTTTGTAAACACGAAGACAAGAGATACACACACATCGCCAAGGAACGAGGTGCAAAGAGGAAACGAAAAAATACTACGTCGTTGCTATCGCCGTCTCATACCCGCACTGCACCAGGCCAACAAAGAATTTCACCAGGAGACTCCAGGACGCTAATTACAATACTCACTCATCTCCCTCCGGACAGATGCCTGTGGTCTCGTCATATTTGGTGCAGTAATTGTCGGCGCTGTAATTGAAGGTGCCATCGCGCTTTCTCACTGGCCGACGACGCCGCTGATTCTGAAAGTGCCAATTGAAACAAACAAATGGCCGATGCTGGTTGCATTTGTGCTGCAGGAACGACTGGCATTGCTCCACGCGAAACTCCTTCAGGTAGCTGCGGGCGGAGAAAACACGGGGCGTTATTCGGGCACCTGGACACTCAATTTATTGTTATTTACGTGTAGTGGTTGGGTTTTTCTTGCTGCGAAGACAGCAGCAGCTTGTTCGTATCGTTCGCCATTTTTTTGAAGAAAAAGATTTATTCTCTTGAAGTGTGGCCGCTCTTTTCAGTAGTTTTTCGGCATTTTTCGAGACCAAATACTGTGGTCACACTTTGAAAAATTTTTTTAAGAGTCTGCAGTGCAGTATTGGTAGTCTAGCTAGTTTCAGGCTAGCACAATTGAAATTATAAAAAAATAATTTAGCTTATAGCCTTAAAAATAATTTATTTCAATATTCATCTAGCATATTCAAGCAAATTTGCATTAGTGACATCAACGATTCAACTAACAAAATGTACTATTTGTCGCTTTAGAGGTGAGGAAGCATCGATGTTTTTGGCGACTATCGATATGTCATAACATCGATATTTCCTCACCTTATTTCACCACTTTTGCCGCGGAGCTGCCACTTGATATTTTCCGGCAGTGTGGCAGCCGTTGCAAGTTTGAATTTGAATTTGAATTTACTTCCCTAAAGAGTGCTAATTTAATTCAATTTTTAATGATTAATGACTGCCAGATATTGAAATTTACAAAAGAGTAGCAGTTTCCCATTTCAGATCATACCTGAGACTTCCTCTGCTTCCATTCTCTCACCCCACTGCTGCACATGCGCTCGGAGAGGAGATGTGACGAGATGCTGGACGGGATGATTTCGACCTGTTGCTCCAGCCTCGCCGTTGTTTACGCGCTGTTTGTTTACTCAGTCAGCGTGATGCACTCGAGCCAAGAGCACTATTACTGCAAGTAGTTGCAATACTTTCGATCTTTCACCAATGAAAAAAACTTCTTGCTCTGGCTTTTATCTTTAGCCTTAACGCGCCTGACAAATTAGTGCCGCCGCGTGTGCATCTCATAAAAGTGAGGATATAGCGACAATGTCAAACACATGCTAATCAAACAGTTATTGCCGCCGAAGCGTTTAATTACCCATCACAATCACCTTAGGGGGCGTCAATGCGGACAAAGACAATACCTCGCCGGTTCGATTATCATCAAACTAGAATAATTCCATCTGGCATCTGAATAATACAACTGTCGTAGCCGATTTGCTGAAGCCTCAAGTTTAAAAACGTTGACTGCATAATGCTGGTGAGAGATATATGGAATATAGTTGGAATTATACATTTTGCAATGCATTATTAAGTAATAGTAGGAAATGTTACAGCAATATTATAGTTAGTAGTTGTAGTATTTAAGAGGCCTTAAATTAAGGTGACTTTAATAAGAAATTCAACCAATCATCTGAACAAATATTTAGTTTAAAAATCATTAGCCAAGAGCAAATTGATGAAATCCTGATTCCGATTTCAATTTTTCTCGAATGGTTCATTTTTAAATTTAAACTGGCACACGCCCGTCTTATTTATTCATTTACTCAATTCTGGGATGGTGCTTTGGGTCAAATATAATTGAAAAATTTTGGTGGTTTTAGAAATTTTCAAACATACTTTTTTTTTGGATCATTGGTAAATGAGCGCGTGAACTGCTGTCGGCTGTTTAGTCACGAGTACCACCTGTTGCTTTTTAAAGTCGTCACATTTTGGCCAAAACGTCTGGAAAAAGTAGGAGAACCTGACACATGACAGCCGCTATGGCTAATAAATAAAGACAATGGTCTTTTCACTGTGCAACTTAATTCTGTCACTTCTTGTCTTGTCGGAGGATCGTCACTTTGCTAAACTTTCCACGCGGAAAGTCTTAGGCTCCAGCCTATTCTTTGGCCCTGAAAAGATATCGCTGGTGTCCATCAAATGCCCGTCAAGAAGTCCATCCATATCGGGCAATGGAAAAGTGACATTCCGAATATATTTGCCCCTCATAAACGTTTCAACCGAAATACAAGTCATTCATTGTGTGGGAAGTGTGTGTTTTTCGCCTTGCAAAAACATTTCCGCTGAAAAGGGGGATAAAATACATTTCACAGACGAATGATGAATACAGTAACTGATTATTCCATAAATAGAATTATTGTGATGAGGATTGCTTCACGTAACTGTGGTTTCACAGATTCTTGCCCATGACCGGAGTCTTGGAGTAGATGGCCCGAAAGATGAAGAAGCCAACGGCCCCATGGACGGCCACCACTGTACAGATGGCCGAGATGATATCCGCATTGATGTTGGCTAAGCCCTTGAGGACCACAAACTTCAGGGCACAAAATGTGGCAATGGGAAAGCCAACTATCAGGGCGCAGTAGGACATAAGCAGCAGGACATTTAGCACAGAGCCATGCCTCTGCGGCATCAGGATTTCCAAATCCGATACATTCTGCTGCTCCATACCAGATACTTCCTCTGCAAAGATCAGGCGCAGAATGTATCCAATGACCAGGACATGCATCACGATCACCGTGGCAATGGCTGAACCAATGGTCACATTGTTGTCGGGGTCCACAGGATATAGTGGCTTCAAAACGAAGATCTTAAAACCACTGTAGATGAGCACGGGACTTAAAAAGAACACGGCCAGAAAGAGGAGCAACTGCTGTATGCCACTTACGAGGACCTGAACCCCTTTTTTCTGTGTAGAATTAAGGAGTTTAGTTTTGGTTATGAAGTTTCTCCCTCTTAAAAGTGCTAACCTTGGCATGTGCACCTGTTTCCAAGCTGGACAAGTCAGTCGAGCAGCCGGGTTCTTGAGTGGAGATGTCCACTTCGGCACCTCGATAAATCCTTCGCAGTTTGGCAAACATTTTTATACAGACGTTAATATTTGTCGTAATTAATTCGGAGATAGTTCTTGCAAGGCATACTTTGGTAGTGTCATTGTTCGAAATATTTTTTTAAGGTATTTAGTGCCATAAGTGCATAATCTATTTTATTTACCAAGATTATTTATAGTTATATTCATAAAATTACAATACTTCTCTGTAATATTCTGAGCTTTACACAAAAATCAAAAGGAACTTTTTCAGACCTTTAAAAATAACTTTCCTAAACTATTTTTATTATCCCATAGCATTTGACTTTAAAGCATACTTGATACTAAAAGAATTGCCACTCTAAGCTGCAACCCATTAGGGGATTTAAGGAGTCAACAAACATCCAATTTTAGCTTGGCATAAAGATTGTCACTGCTCGAGGCAGAAATATCTGGTCTTGTGACCAGACACGACTATATACTATATAGTAATTAGCCTTAACCACACCAGTAGCCAGAAAAAGACTTCTTCAGATTAGATAGGTGCAATTAACTAGACCGAGGAATCCGTCAGAGACTTTTTTCTTCATAGGACCATAGCCTATCTGACCGATAAAGCTCTCCAATCAACGTCGTGATTTTTATGGCCTCACTTGACTCAAATACCGCGCCCTCGATTTATGGTTAAAGATTAATTCTTGGCCAGCCCCTATCCTGGTCAGCTGACTTCGCAGTGCACGGGTGTTTCCCCAGCACAGTAAAATGAGTAAATTTGATGGAAATCCATAAATATAGAACAGTGCAAATCAGCTGTCAAATTTTCATAAAATAAAGTCTATTTATTAGGCTTTTGATAGCAAAAGGTATTTTGGTAAATGAGCAAAATTACTATCAGAAAAAGTCCCTTAAGAAATATATGATTTACCTTAAAATAAACTTGTTACTCATAAACAAAAGGCTTTAAAGTCTTTAAGATTATCGTATTCTCTGTGGAGTTATCATGCTAATTTTGGTCTATATTTCTTATCTACTTTTCTGCAAAAATATTACTCATACGCAGCGTTGGTCAATCGATTTAAATGAATTGACGCTTAGGCAGAGTACCTAAAAATAAAGCTATTATCAGAAAGAGAATATAATGAATGGGCTTGGCCTATATATATTTGGATAATCCACAATACTTGCAGTCATAGAAACCAATATAAATTTTTATACAATAACACTGTTATCAAATATTATAATAATATACACTTGAAATCGATAAGGAACCGCCACATTTGTGTTTTGGTTATATTTATGGCTATTCGATCAGTTGGTTTCAAATCCACTTGGTTGCCAAGGGAGGTGGTGGAGGTGTCCCAGAATAGAAACATCTCTTATTCTAGCCATTGCTTTATGGTCTGCCAGAGAACTGGCCACCATCCAAATGACCACCAACAGCTGCGGGGAAGATACGAAATTAATGAGATTTATGCCAAGTTCACACATATGAATCGGGTCAGCTTCGCTTCGACAGGTTGACATGTGGATCTCCTCGGATAGCTGCTCATTAGTCCGGGAGGCTGCTCATGCAAATTGCACGACAGCTAATGGCAAAACTATTTCGCAATTCCACTTCAAGGGGTTATCCCGAGGGATGGCAATCATTGGAACGCATCCGGATACGGATGCGGATCCGGACAGTGGCAGTGGCCTTCAATTGAAGCCGAAGTGCAGCGAGTTAGTTATTCATGCCACTGTTTGCTGCCACTCGTACACGCATATGTGTGAGTGCCACCGGAATGGGGGGCAATTATGGTAATTGCCCAGTCTGGGCATCCGCTTGTTTGCTCTCTGTGGCACTCTGTGGGTGGTCATCATCCTGCCTGACCTTGACTGCGCTGTGAAACTCGGGAAGCCACAGGACTGGGACTCTGTCCCGCTAACCTTGACAAGCACGTTGGCCGTCACTTGAGAGTTGACCAAGTTTTATTGGTTTCCCTTGAGTGCAGTGGAAACTTTTCCCCTTGACGGGCTTAAGCTTCAAGCTGCAGCTGGGGAAAACCGAGGCGAGCGCTTTTCTTTTGTGGCCATCGATGAGCAATTAAAAGTCGCCTGTTTTGAGGGAATTTTCTCCAGAAGCATCTCCCTCTCTCTCTCGGGGAATCACTTGAATGCCGTTGTTGATATAGTTATTCAGCTGTCCATTATGCGATTTGCATACACTGCCAGAAGTGTTTTGTTTCGGGATTTAAAGAGCCACTTACTCAGGCCACTTGAGGCCCACATCCATCAGCCAGGAGAGGCGGTCATGGACTCCGACACAGTTTAATGCTCTCTTAAGGAATACATGTGTATCCTTTGGGTGTTGCGGCAGGTCGGTTACATCAGTTTCAAGCAATCAGCATAAATTTCTTGCCCATCTGGGAGCGCTCAACTTTGAACCGAAACCGGCTCCTAAACTATATCAATTGACCTTTGCCTCATCCTCCTGGAAATGGAGGTCAACAGACGAGCTAGAAATAAATTTTGGTGACATGTGATGGATGATTGCCTGGCCAGGCTTTGATGGCCTTTGTTCTCCGTCCGGGTCAATGTGGGCCGTAAAGCAGCAGGATAATAAGGACATTAATGAGACCAGCTTCCTGGGGCATAAAATAGTAGAGCTATAAATAAAAGGAAATTTAATTAAATACATTTTAGTAATGAGAAAATAAGTTGTCATTAGGCTAGTCATATTAAAGATGTACTTCTAAGAGTAAGTAGGAGCTTGGGCCAAACTAAACTTAAGTGATAATATTTGCCTTGGACCAGGAAGTAGTTCATATCTATTTTGGTTTATGCTTTAATATTTGTGCATTTTGCTTTGGGAGGAACATACATCCTGACTTATAGGAGCATTTTTTAGATAAACCAATCAGCCAGCAGGCCAAACAGTCGCAGTCTGATGTCTGAACCTAATCAAACATCTCTTAAATAAAGGCACATCACACACAAACCAATGCCATACCTGAATCTCCATAGTTCTCTTCCCCTCAAGGAACAGATAAGTCCATGTCAAGTGCCGTAAATCGTTGCAAATATTTACACGCGAATCTGTCAACGCGAAAAGCGGTGCTCAGTCAACAGTAGTCATGTGCCACATGTGAACGGCGCGAATATCCAGATACAGATACAGATACTGGGCCAGATACAGATATAGATACGGTTGTGACAGTGAACAAGCCCGGGACGGTAGCAAGTCTGAATTTATGGACACGGATAGAGCTCTTGTCAGGGAAGCCTGTCAGATATCGCCCAGCTCCTTACGATTGTTTACTGTAAGCCCAACACGGTCGATGTCATAATCGTTTGGGCATTTCCTGAGTTTACCCCTGGAATTAAATGCTATTCGTGTTTGAACTCCCATGAAAACGAGATGACTTACCAAAGTCAGCTGTGGCTGGTCGTAAAACTTGTCTAAGATTCCCCTAATTCCCATAACCGAGGGCTCATTAACATTAAAGTGACCGCTAAGTTGCACTTCAGATTACTTTGGATTATGGGATCTTGCATGACGTCCATTGGATTGAATTAATAAGAAAATGTTCCCGGGGACACTTAAAAGTAACGCTAATCTCAAGCCATATCAGTTGCTATTGAGAATCGAGTATTTCTAATAAATGATTAAGTTTGGTAATACCCCTTAAAGTACTTTAGTACTCCTTCGCTCTTGAAAACTAATCTCTGCTGAAGATTCTACTCATGAAAAGGAGGGCCAGAATCCCTTAAAGAACACAGGAAATTAATCCTGTGACAAATTGTTTAGCATTTATCACCGGTTTCCTTCAGATTTCCTTTCCTCTCCTTGGGAAACATCACGAACTGCCAATTAACTTTGAAGGCTCCATTTGCTGTGTCAACTCAGAGTGCTGACTTTTATTTGGCCAGTAAATCTTCAGCTGTCTTCTATAAATATAAAAATCTATTTAAGTTTGGTTCCCACAGCTTTGCAGGCACGTTCTGGCCACAGAAGGATTTCCATCTCACGGGCATCCCGTGTCCTAGGTCACTCCTGGCCAGGATGGCATGCAAATGGCAGTCCATGGTTAGCCCACTTTTGAGGGCCATGTCATGCGATGCCAGGCACACGTTGGGTTCAATGGCCCGCCCAGAGAGAGGTCAACGAAGGACGTCATAGAACTGACCCCTCATTCCTTTCCTCTCAATTTCTCTGGACTGCACGGCACACAATGACATTGACATGCATTGGCTAAGCTGGCGCTTAGGTTGCAGGTTGTAGAGTTGCCCCATGCCGCATGCCCCATGCCTAATGCAACCGATTTAATGCAACTGCTGGCCCAACAGCTGTACGTGTCCGCACTCAGTTATTGGTCAGCTCCAATTCATGCAACTTGTTAGCCAAGGCCTCAATTCACCTGCAAAGTTATGGGCTAAAAATAGTCACAAATAGTACTCGGAACTAGGTCGCCAAAGGTGTGCATTAGTTGGACATCAACAGGAAATTATAAAGGGGAAAGGGATATAAGTAAGGATTGCTAATTGATAGGAAAATATTTTACAAAGTACTTTACTATTACTATTACTTGATTAGTATTATAATCAATGCTTGCATGTATTTCATACTCCCCTAATCCTTTTTATATCTCAATTTATATCCCATTAAAATATCAAGCACTTTCTTATCATATTTATCTGTTGGAATTAGTCTGCTTTCCTCCTTAGTATTCAATAAACAATGTTGGCGCGTGCCAGAGGATTACTTTAAAATCTGGTAGCTAAATTGTGGAGCTGGAGATTCTCGCATGGCCCATTGAGTGGGATTACATTACCGTGGAGCACCACCACGTGCACCATGTACTCCACCCGTGTTATGGCCACGTGTGTGTGTTCTCATGCAAATAACTCAATCTAGCTGATGGCATACCCCCAAGGGCTGCTTCCCCCCAAAAAAATCCATCCTGTAAAGACGACCTTGACAAATAAGCGGATGCACAAATTTTCAATAAAGCTGTGGTTACGCAGAATTAGCTTATATCTAAACAATTGCAGAGGGAGACAAGTCTGCCAGTTTAAGATGTTTCAGAGTTCAAAGTATCAGTATTATGATAAAGAAAACAAGTCTTTTTATAAACATTTA